TTACTTTCAGCTGTAGTATCTATTTTAGGAAAAATTAGAAAAAAAACTTGGAAGTTCAGTTATCTCTCAATAGATGGAGAAACAAATAATAAGGAAAAGTACTTGGAATTTCAGTTACCTCTCAATAGATGGAGCAAAAAATTAAGAAAAAATACTTGGAAGTTCATTTTTCTCTCAATAGATGGAGAGAAACAATTAAGAAAAAATCCTTGGAAGTTCAGTTATCTCTCGATAGATGGAGAAAAAATACTTGGAAGTTCACTTATCTCTCAATAGATGGAGAAAAGTATATGGAATTTCAGTTATCTCTCAATAGATGGAGAAAAAATTAAGAAAAAATACTTGGAATTTCAGTTATATCTCAAGAGATGGAGAAAAATACTTGGAAGTTCAGTTATATCTCAATAGATAGAGAAAAATACTTGGAACTTCAGTTATCTCTCTTTAGATGGATAAAAAAAGAAAGTTTGGTTATCTCTCAATAGATGGAGAAAAAATTTGAGAAAAATACATGGAAGTTCAGTTATTTCAATAGATAGAGAAAAATTAAGAAAAAATACTTGGAGGTTCACTTATCTCTCAATAGGTGGAGAAAAAAATAAGAAAAATACGTTGAAGTTCACTTATCTCAATAGATAGAGGAAAAAATACTTGGAAGTTATGTTATCTCACAATAGATGGAGAAACAAATAATAAGGAAAAATACTTGTGAGTTCAGTTATTTCTCAATAGATGGAGAAAAAATACATGGAAGTTCAGTTATCTCTCAATAGATGGAGAGAAAAAATTAAGAAAAAAATACTTGGAAGTTAATTTTTCTCTCAATAGATGGAGAGAAACAATTAAGAAAAAATCCTTGGAAGTTCAGTTATATCTCAATAGATGGAGAAATAATAGTTGGAAGTTCAGTTATCTCTCAATAGATTAAGCAAAAAGTTAAGAAAATATACACTGAAGTTCAGTTATTTCTCAATACATGTAGAAAAGATACTTGGAAGTTCAGTGATCTCTCAATATATTGAGAAAAAATTAAGAAAAAATACTTGGAGGTTCACTTATCTCTAAATACATGGAGAAACAAATAATAAGGAAAAATACTTATAATTTCAGTTACCTCTCAATAGATGGAGCAGAAAATTAAGAAAAGCTACTTGTAAGTTCAGTTATATGTCAAGAGATGGAGAAAAATACTTGGAAGTTCACTTATCTCTTAATAGATGGAGAAACATATAATAAGGAAAATACTTGAAAGTTCAGTTATCTCTCAATAGATGGAGAAAAATATATGGAAGTTAAGTTATTTCAATATATAATGAAATAAATAATTAGGAAAAATACTTGGAAATTTGGTTATCTCTCAATAGATGGTGAAAATAATTAAGAAAAAATACTTGCAAGTTCAGTTATCTCTCAATAGATGGAGAAAGAAATAATGAGGAAAAATACTTGGAAGTTCAGTTATGTCTCAATAGATGGAGAAAAAATAATAAGGAAAAATACTTGGAAATTCAGTTATCTCTCAATAGATGGAGAAAAAAATTAAGAAAAAATACTTAGAAGTTCAGTTATCTCTCAATAAATGGAGAAAAAATAATAAGGAAAAATACTTGGAAGTTCAGTTATCTCTCAATAGATGGAGAAAAAATTAAGAAAAAATACTTGGAAATTCAGTTATCTCTCAATAGATGGAGAAAAA